TTTTTTGTTGTTATTTTTTTCTGGATGATGTATTTAGAATTGTATTTAGTATTGAAACTTAAATATTGCTAATATGAAGCAAATGAGCAAAATGTGTTCACAGTATTGCTTCATCCATCTTTATTTGTTTCAATCTGTACTTATCTCTTTTTGCAGGCAACAGAATGCAAGTAGATTAATCTGCTTCCATATTTCACTTGTCCTTACATGCATATGTACATTTAAGGTTTGAAAGATTAAGTTCTGAATGTCTAAATTTCTTGCAAAATGTTAGTTATGCAGCGAAGCCTTTAAAATTAATATGAAGAGTATTACTTTACTTGGACACTTGATATATGTGTTGAGATTTCAAATTGCTAAGTTGTGATTTTTATTGAGAAATTGCAAGTATATTTGTTGAGAAATGCATCTATATGTCAATTTTGTTGAAACTGAGAATTTCACTGTTAATGATATGCAAATGGCAAAAAGACTTTCATTTGATCATTTTGTGGATGTTTGCAGTTTTTCAAGGCATGCCATGTAACCAGCACAGCGTACTACATGATACTTTTTCCCACAGCAGGTTTTATCCTTACAGGTAACATGTCATACATTTGACCCTGCCACACTTTGCGTAGATTTTTATTCCCAAACCATAATCTTATTGGCCTGCTCATTTTTCTCAAAGAAGTCCTTTTTTCTGAATATTAAAATGTTTTCAAAGTGAATGTTTGTCTCAAATGGGTGTTATTTTTTAATTGTGTGAAGGGATTACAGCAGTGTGTTTGTTCCGTTGCTCGGACAGTAGTCGTTTCTCTTAGGTTGGCTGATAGCAACTGGGAGCATACGTGACCGGGATGTGATTTCAACAGATTTGGCCGGATTCCAGGATTTTTGACCCCAAAATTGAGAAATAGGAGAGGTTTAATCAGTTGCGATTTGTTATGTTTTGCATTTTGAACAACTAAACCAAGTGCAAGATTCACAAAAGAGAATTTGTTGCTTGTTGCATTAGGGCTTTGCTGAATATTCTATTATATATTGAATATTCAAATGTCACTTTCCAAATAAATTTTTTTTTATTATTCCAATGCAAATTTCATGAAAAGGAAGGGAGAATTTTCTTTTGTTTTAAATGAGAAAAATTGCACTTTGGAGGCTTGTTTTAAGCAGATTCAAATGAAAAGCAACATATCTTACGACTCCAAAAGTAAATTATACATTGAAAATATTTAGAGCAATAGAAATTTTCAGCAGGGCAAGAAGTATTGTTCATCTCTTAAATCTTGCTAAATTGTGGCTGGAGATACTCCAAGTCTAGACGTGAGAAGCTTTATCATTATCCGGTTCATAAGTGACTTTGTCACAAAGGTGGACACGCCATGATTTCAGCGATCAATGCATTCACCTCTATGTGCAGTGCATATGCAGTGGGCGTGGTTTAAACTGAAGTGACGTCACACTTACGAACTGAATAGTGATTATAATTTACAATTGTGTGCATTATTGCAACTGATCTGTATATGGTTTAATCAACAATCTGCTGGTTGGTGAGACTGAATATTTGAATATTCAAACGAATTGAAGGTCAAATATTCGAATAGTGAATTGACTCTGCCCTATGTTGCGTGTAGGTGTTCAAAGCCCTGAAAAGCCAAACAGTTTTATTCTTGTTCTCACAGCTCTCCTGCTGAGTGTTTGTTGGAATGGTCATCATCCCCCAATCATACATCTTGACAGGAGCAACCTTTAATATAACAATACTCAAACTTTGCACTCACAGCAATCAGCTGCTGTTGTAATCATTAGAGTTAGGCCGTGTCCGAAGCGGGCTTCCAGAGCTACGGCTAGGTCTATTGTCTACGCGTCTCCACGTACTTTCAATGGAGTGAAGACCTAGACCTAGCTCTAGACAAGAGATTTGGATGCAGCCTTAGTTTACTGGTACGTTGGTTGCTCAAAATCCTGTCCTTGTACCAATACAACTTCGGTGATGTCCAGTAAAACGCTCCATTGCCCATTTGTTTAGCAATGTGAAATGTTATTGACACCTGGTATGGGCACTGACTGCTGTACTGATGCATGTATGACGGACAGACAAATCACTGCCCTCCCTTTTTTTTTTATTTTCAAGTGATTACAGCTTTAATGAAAGTCGTGCAAAGTGTGCTTTTGAAGACGTGCTCAAATTGGTTTTATGGGTGTTCTTTTTAATTTACGTTATCTTTAGTCCTTAATTCAAATAGGAATGATTATTATTAAAATTTTGCAGGCAGAGTATATTTGAAGATACTGCAACAAAATTGAGGTGCTCTTTTGGGGGGAGGGTATTTTTGTGCTTTATTTTCTTTTATTTGGGTTATTATGGTCATCAATTACAATTCACATCTCTTACTGGAATTTTATTTGTGTAGTCACCAGTTAAATGTGTGGTTTTCAACACCTGAAATGGTCTTGAAGCACTTACTGGAAATTCAGTGATTTCGAAACTAGCAAGTTCTTTTTTGAAAAATTTTAATCCTGTGCTCATCTACAGACTGTTCCACGTACATTAACCCTAACCCAAACCTTTGACAAGGGCACTTAGTAAACATGAAGGCCAAGTTTTTTGCGCTAGCTCTACTCGGTTCTTTAACAATTGAGTGCAGTCGCTTGAAGTAAATGTCTGACTTTTAATGATTGATAAAGGCTTTGTTGGTTTGCTTATGAAAAATTGTGAATTTGATTGATTTGATTTCTCACCCGCTATTTTAATTTCCAGGTGTGCCTTAAATTTATGTCTGGCAGTGACATGATTTAGACATAATTAAGACTTGTGGCAAAGGGGGTTGAAATAAAAAAATGATTCAAGTGACTTTGAAAATATATTTCTGTGTGTGATATTTGTTGGATGTGTTAGGACCTTGAATTTAATTTTGAATTGGCAACACAACTTCTCATTTGCCATCTTTTTGCAAATTCATTTCCATTTGATAAATTGACACTAAGACTGCAAGATAGCATGTGTACTAATATATTGGCGTTTAGGGCTCTACAGTTTCTGTGTTTGCTCCAACATTTGTCCTTTTATAATTTAAGTGGGCTTAATTCACTTAACTGCCTGAATCGTAACCAGTGGAAGAGAACAAGATTGGTTTAAAAACCACGCCTCACCATATTCCCTGGATTTTGTTACGTGATCTCCTTGGAGCACAAGTACATCTAGGATGCTTTTGACTCCATATTGGTGCCTGTTAACAGACAGGATGCTATGTGTTATCAGCAGACCCTGATAAATTTGTAACTTACACAGACTGATGTAAGGATGAAAGTGGTTTGCTTGTTGAACATACTGGACTCTGATTGGCTGAAAGTTTAGATCCAATTAGAGTGTGGCTTACATTTGGCATCGTTCTGCACTTTTCATCTTGGTTTATTTCCAAAACAGAAATTAATTAATTTCACAAGACAGTCTCCAACTTTCAGTCAATGTGCTGATTTAAATGCAGTTAGAAGTCTAATATGAAAGTAATTGCAAGTGATGGCATTTCTCGGCCTCCTTTTCCAAAATCTAATTGTTAAATGTCCTGAAGGCAGGGTCTCATTCTGCCACCCTTCCTAAAGACAGGTAAACATGATTTTGAATCTGCAGTTTGTACAAAATTAAAAATCCAAACTACGTGAATCCTTAACACTGGTGCGTAAATCTTCATATTTCTATCTCGGACAATAGTAAGTGTACTACGGAAGATAGTCTGAAATAGCAGCAGATGTACAATAGGAGTAAGATTGGTGTGAATAGGCAGGTTTTAATATTTGCTGAGAAGAGATACGCAGATATTTTCATCCTAGATGAAAGCTCGTTTGAAGCTGTGATTTCTGTCATCTTTCACAGTTCAAGTTTCAACTTTCAAACCTGTTTATGTTTTATTAAAATTTTCTGTCTCAGTTTTTTGACTGAAGCCAGGATCAAGTACATGTGGTTAGTTTAGTTCTTACAGGCCAGTCAGAGCCATTTATAGCACCTTGGCCCAGAATTTGACGCTGAAGTTTGAAAAACATGTCCAGATTTGACAAATATGCTTCTTTTGAAATCTTTGATTACCAAGGGCAAGTAAGTAACGACAGAGGATCCTTAATCTTGTTATAAGACAAATTCACTTACCTTTTTTATTGAGTTTCAGGACTTTGACCTAGCTCTTTGGTCAATATAAGAAGAAACCTTTGATGGAATTCACTTTGAAAAAGTTACCATTTAATACAGTTGCAGTGAAAAAACTTGATGTGTGATACTGTAACGAGTTAGCACTTTCCATGGAGAAATCCTGGGACTCCCTTGTTTTTTTTTAATACCTTGCTTTACCCTCCAGATTGTCAAAAATAAATTTTATTTGGTGGCGATATTTCCACCAAGTCAACCTGCTGAAGTAAATTCTGCATAGATCACAGATTCAGATGAAATGCTTTAATATTACCAATAGACCACGTTTATTTCCCTATTATTCCTATGGCCTGCCAAAGCTAGCAGGACTATTACCCTTGGTTTGTACATCTTCCCCAATGCTTTAAAGAGGGTCAATAATTTCCTATCCTATTGTTTACATGTAGCAGTAGTTTTTATGTTCTTTTACTTTTGTACTGACAACCCAGCCATAGATTTACCAGTCATGAGTGGGTAAAAACACAACTGATGTACGTAGGAAGAAAGGAACATTTAGGCTAATCCACCGACAAGAATTAGAATTCATTTCACCAGTGGCACCATGTTTACATCTTGCTGGTCAATATCTAGCTGGTCTTTCAGTCAATAGCTGTGCTGTGTCTTACCAAAATGCAAGCTCACCTTGCATTCCTGAAGTTGAAAAACATGAGGATTCAAAGTACGTGTGATACCAAATGCTTGGCAGGGTAAATACTTTATGGTGTATGTTGTATCCTCAGAGCTGGATTTTTGGGAATAAACAAGATATGTCAAATGATCATTGCGTATTGTTCATTTGTTTAACTCCGGTTGTGTCCAAAATACATTTTCTTTTCAGATTAAAAGCAAGAACTATGAGAAAGTGGAAAAGGTACGTGTTACGATTGTGTTTTTTATATGTACATTTGTCCTTTTTGTCTTTTACCGTGGCAACAACAAACAAACAAACAATTGAAGCTTTTCAACAAACTTTGTGCAGTGTTTTCCATATTTTGCTTTGTCGGAGTCAAACCTGTGAAGATTAAAGAATATACCAGTTCCACTATTGTTAGGCAATCTAACTGTTCATGCTGTTATTTAGTGTTTAAAGTCTTCAGACAGGGCCAACAGTGCAATAAACTCAGCCGTGCTTTTGACAAAGCTGGGTAAATTGTTAGAAAGCATCAGTATTGCAATTGCAATGATCAAGTAAAGGAGTATTTGTATCATTATTGGGTGGATCAAGGTTTGCCCAAGTGGGGCCACGCTGCCCCCTCCCAGATAATTTTTCCACCCCAACAGACTTTTTTTACCCCCAAATTATGAAGGGCTTTCTTGGGCTCAGTCTCATTTTCCTTCCTTCCAAACATGTAAACAGCCGAAAATGTAATATCACACCTCAAGAAGGCCTAAAAGGTTACTTAAACTTCCAATATTTGGGGTAGCTCCAACACTTAAAGCTTCCCCCCCCCAAAAAAAAGTGCTTCTTGTTCTGTCTCTAGACTGTTTCTGGATTGGAGACTTTTTACCATGGTGTATATGTACATGTTACTCTTCCAAATGGCTTTTTCTCTCAACCACAGCAAAAGTGGACAATAAATTCCATATTTAATTTTCAAAATAGTCGCTTTGTAAAACCAAGAATTCCTGTGATGAAGTATTTTGTAACTTTCCCAGCTTTCTTTCAAAATGTTAAAAACTTTGATAAGCTGCCTAGGAGTAACAAAAAACAGTAAAATTTGGCATTATTTTTCCTCCGATCCCTACCTTCATAGCTGTTCCAACGTTGCCTGATGAAGGTTCTTAACATTGACCTGTGGAAGTGTTACTTGACTTATGTGAAGGAGACCAAAGGAGGTCTCGCGTCGTATCGTGAGAAGATGGCCCAAGCTTACGACTTTGCACTGGACAAAATGGGCATGGATATATACTCATACCAGATCTGGGCTGATTATGTAACATACCTCAAGGGAGCGTAAGTTTGATTGTTTGGATTAATAATTCAACTCTAGCTCATATTTACAGAGAGTTTGATTCTGTTACAAAATAACTTCAAATCTGGGATGGCAACATGACAGGTAACAGAAAATGACAGAAAGGAACACTGAAGGAAGATTAGAATCAAGATGACATGAGAATCAATTTCTTTACAATGCGAGCGATTCACAATAGTGTGCCACCAAGAGTTTGCAAGGCGTTGGCCAATCATAACGCACAAAATTTGTCGACCCTTTCCAGACGCGCATTGTGTTGACAAAGTTCGCGCATTGTGATTGGCCAACACGTTGGAAACTCTTGGCGGTGCACTATTGTGAAACAGCCGTATTAACAGAATATTCACACATCATTGGATGAGATGAACCAATGGAAAAGAAACAACTACAGATAACATTTGTGACCCGAAAATGAACCTTAAGACCTTTTTCAGTACTGTTGTTTCAGATATGCATTAGAAAGAGCAAGCTTAGCTCTTTGTTAAGATGTGTCACTCATTTTGGCTTTCTGAGCAAAATGACACCGTGTGGGTGAAAAATGTTGATGTTTCCATTGATTTCTATGGTCCGGGAATTTTTTAAAGGTTTGTCACTCAAAAAAGGCTCTGGTGACTTGTGCTTGTATCATTCCATAATATCGTGGGTACTGCTAAGTTTGATAGTCATTGGCAGATAATCAATGTGGTCATCCATGAAATGAAGTAATCTGGACCTATAAGCAGCACTGTCCATTTCTTGCATTTATTTATTACAGCCATATTTAAATTCATGCAGTACTCTCAGTTAACGTTTTGAACTGCAACCGATTTACACTGTGTGCAAACCATCTCAATGGTGGACAGGAGCAGTAAAGACAAAATACCTTGGTCATTGACATGGGCGAACCCAGGAAGTGGAATCTCAACCTTTGACTCCTGGTTTTCAATTTATGGATGAAGACCTTTAGCCATTGGTCCCTAGTGGTTTATCAGGTAATTGATGGTACATTTACTGATTATTTTATTGTTGCTTATGTCAGGGAGGCAAAAGGTTCTTATGCAGAGAACCAACGGATCACTGCAGTACGTAGGGTGTATCAGAGGGGTGTGGTCAATCCAATGGTCAACATAGAGGTTTTCTGGAAGGACTACTGTACATATGAAAATGTAGGTATTGAATCCTTAATTATCTCACAGTCTTACTTAACATGATGTCATAGATTTGGGAAGGTTTTACTTGGTTTTATGAGAGTCCCATTTTACTGGCAGTAACCAGGAAAACTTGGGGATGGATGAGGATGGGCCGGTTATTTGGTGCTGGGTTATTCTGTAAATTTTGGGTCCCGTATTTTCCTTTTCCTGTCACATGCGGCAAATGATTTTGTACGTTTAGAACACAAATTTTTAATCAAGAGTGATTAAAGTTATGAAAATAACTTGCCAAACAAATAAAAATAGTTTGAAGTCAATTTCAATGATATGTCCCTTGTCAAATTCCATTTGTGTGGGTCACGTGTAATGGACATTAAAACATTGGAACCCTAATTTATAGAATGACTCTGCTAGCTGGTTGTCATTAGATCTGGATAGATCAAAGCCATTCCTGATCAGTTTTTCCCTTGCTCTTACTACCAAACAATGTTCGTAATTCTCAGGGAATCAACCCTATCATTGCCAAGAAAATGATAGATGATAGGAGCCGCAGTTACATGAATGCCAGAAGAGTTGCCAAGGTAACAGTACTGATGCTTTCCTGTTTACTTTTTCAAATGAACAGTGAAGAAGTTTAAATAATTTAACTTTGCACTCCTTGAAATATCTTTAATTGTCTTCAGTAATCTTGGGAAAACATTTTAATTTTTGATTGAGATTCGTCCAGTAAGATGCTTCCTTTCTGCTGTAAGGCCACTTCAGCATTTGTTCATACAGCATTTGATCTCACAAATTGGTTGATTTGTCGGTTGGTTTGTAGGAGTATGAGGCCGTCACGAAAGGACTAAATCGCAACAATCCAGCAGTGCCCCCAACAGGAACTCTGGAAGAATCAAAACAGGTGGAACTGTGGAAGAAGTACATCAATTGGGAAAAGACTAACCCTACCAGAACGGAGGATCAGACTCTCATGACAAAAAGAGGTAGGACTGTCTCAGAATTAGAAATTTAGACAGAACACTGAAGGGGCACATTGCGAGGAAGGAATTGGAGACATCCCTGAAGTTCTGAGGACATCACTTGTACTGTAATTTGTAGTGATCAAATATTTATATGAGTATTTGGTTATTTCTGCATCGTGCTCAGATAGTTTGTTGCTTTGTTGACAGCGGTATATCTTTTTGTTGTTTCACATGCAGTGATGTTTGCATATGAGCAGTGCCTCTTATGTCTTGGTCATCATCCTGATGTGTGGTATGAGGCTGCCTTGTACCTGGAAAACTCCAGCAAATCCTTTGCAGAAAAGGGCGTAAGTCACATCTCAGAATAAACATGCAATTACTAAATCAGAGGAGTGTTCTGGAATGACCGCTTCATTTACTGGATTGTTTCGCTTACTTGTTGCTCAGGACATGAACAACGCCAAAGTATTCAGTGATGAAGCCGCCGCAATCTATGAGAGGGCAATCCAAACACTGATGAAGAAGAGTATGCTGATCTACTTTGCCTATGCAGACTTTGAAGAGGTGATTTACTTGACCCCTCACTTGATCTCCTCCCCTTTTCAGATCCTGAGCCCCTCCCCCAACCACCAGTCCCCTCCTTGACCCACTTTTGCATGTGTTTAATAGCACTTCTCCAATTCATTCATTGAAATGTTATTTTTCAATCCACTTGTCATGTTCTTCGTTTTAAACTTTTAAAGGTTCTTTTTCTTTGGGTTGATGTCAGGGTCGGATGAAGTATGAAAAGGTTCACAACATCTACAAGAGGCTGTTGGCCATTGAGGACATTGACCCTACCCTGGTGAGTAATCTAAAGGATGGTAGTCAAACTTCATGGTTTGTGCTTCTTCACAGTCTCATGTTGTCATTTTTAGTTGTAAAGAATCCCAAGGTAATCTATCGCTGTCCTGTCTTCCCTCCTGAAAACACTGCCCCATTAACAAGTCATTGCAGCCCCACTGAATGTTTTACCTCAAAGGTATACTTAATGTCAAATTTATGTGCATCTTGGCAAAAAAAGTGATAGGTTGTGATAGGTTGTGAGATCTTGTACAAGAACGAAAACTAAACATATCTCTTTTCAGCTTTTCCTTTATATAATGCGAATAAAGATACACATTTGAAAGTTGTTATTCTTGGATTCATCTGTTCTCATCCAATATCTCAGGTGTACATCCAATACATGAAGTTTACTCGTAGAGCAGAGGGTATCAAGGCAGCCCGAGCAATCTTCAAGAAGGCCAGGGAAGATATCAGAGTCCACTATCACGTCTTCATTGCAGCTGCACTTATGGAGTATTACTGCAGTAAGGTAAGAACAGCACTGTAACAGCAACTGTAATCAAAATAAATATTGTCTTCCTACTTGTGTTGGTGGCAAGCGTCCATGAATTCTTTACAGCCCACTTTGAAATATTCTAGCGTAAGCGATCCTCTGTCAATATTGAAGAAAAGTTTGAAAAAAATGCATACATTTTAATATCTAACTGCAACTCAAATGAAACATGAAGACTGCAGCTTTTAGATCAAAGCTTCCATGAGTTTTTTTAGTCAGTGAGTACTCTGAGAAAAGCTAAAGTTTTGACGGGAAAAGTTTAAGGAGTGGAAATAATATAGTTGTGTACATCTTGAAGCAAATAAATGCAATTTTGATAAAAACTTACTTGAATGTAAGTGCAGATATTTGCACCACTTCATTCACCGTGCTTCACCCAAAAGTCCCAAATCCTCCAATTTCAATACAATTTTACATACACCCTTGGGGGTTAGGCTTAATGTAATACTGTTACAGAAGCATGGTCTAATTTTAACTGGTATCCATAACAATGCAAGGATGTGCATGCTCGGCTCAAAACAGCCCTAGTTTTGTTAGTAGCCATGGATTTTTTTCTCCCAAATTCAGGACCAACAAGTTGCATTCAAGATCTTTGAGCTGGGATTGAAGAAGTATGGAGATATTCCTGAGTACATCCTCTCCTACATCGATTACCTGTCACATCTGAATGGTTGGTGCTCTGTAATGAGAATATCAGTTGCTTTGGTTTGGTTTTGGGAGTTTGTTTTGGGACAGGTAAGATGTAAACTGTCTTCCTGGGGCCCTGTAGGAGAAGGTAGTGAAGACATACTCATAATTTCAACCAAATATCACTTAAATGAGTCACCACTACTCTAGGAAATCTGTACTTACCAGGTAACCGCCAGACCAGGACTCCTTTAAAACTTTACTATTCAACTGAAAATGTGCAGTAAATATAAGCTTCTTTAAAACTCAAAAACTACTTTATATGGAAAATCATAAAATTGTTCAGGTTGTGTTGCTGAGCTTGAGAACTTGAAAACTCAGCCTCTGAGTAAGCTCATTTCAATGTCCTTATTTTCTCTTGACAGAGGATAACAACACAAGGGTGTTGTTTGAACGAGTCTTGACGGCAGGGTCCCTGCCTGTTGAAAAGTCAGGGTAAGTAATGACATAAACCTAAGGGGAAGACTTAAGTTAGTGCCTTACGTTAGCCCCCTTTTTGAGCAAAAATGTTGGTAGTTTTTTCAGTTGGTTGGTTATTGGAAGCTGCGCTCACATTTTCATCAGTTGTGATTACTGTGATTATTTTATTATTTAGTGAGATCTGGCTGCGGTTTGAGGACTTTGAATCAACTTGTGGAGACCTGACAAGTGTCGTCAAGGTAGAGAAGAGACGCCTAGCCCTCTTCAAGGATGTAAGTAATACAGCCAGCTTTGCTTTATTAAAACAGGAATGAGTAGTGCAGTCCCTCATTAAATTGTTGTAGCTGATGTCAAGCCCATCTCTGAGTCCACTGAAATAAAAGGTGTATTTGAGGAAGGAAAGATTCTGCCTTGAAATTACTGTCATTGTAATCTTTGAATATTTAACATGGATAACATCCTTTTTTTGCAGGAATTCAAAGATCGTGAAACCAGCTTACTTGTAGATCGCTACAGGTATCTGGATCTCTATCCCTGCACCTCTGCTGAACTGAAAGCCATCGGATATAAAGTAGGTCACACTTACAAGAAGACGGCTAAAGACTACCATCAGTAACTCAACTATGAAAAACTTTGACATTCTTCAAATGCTGCTGTTATATAATTCAACATGCATACTCTTCTTCTTGAAATTATTTGTTGATAGCCCAAAAAGTGCAATATTTTCTTTTTAAATTTGGGCCTCATCATAAAAAAAGTTGCATTTGGTGTAATATATAAATACAGTGAATAAATACATTTCTTCTTTGTGTTCTTAATAATTCCCTTGAAATGAAGTTTTTGCTTTATCATTTTATCCATCCAGGATCTCACTCAGCGGCACACCATTCAACAAGTTCTCCAAAATCCTTCCGTCTCAAAAGATGCGGGGCCATCAACAGAGAATACTGAGGAAGAAGGAGCTGATGCCAAGAAGACAGAGTTTCCTGCTCCTGATTTGCAACAAATGCTCCCCTTTACCCCACGATCTCAAGCCCGTATGTATCCAGATCACATCTGCAAAAGCCAATTAAGGCCAGCTCGTACCTAGTGGGAAAGCAAACATGGACAGGAAATTGTGGCTTCAGATCAAATATTCTTGCAGTGAATTTAGTGAACTTGAATGTATTTCGTCTCAAATGAATTTCATTGCCTACGTAGCTTTTTCCCACATCCTTTGAGACATGTTTAAGTCAAGAAGTCTGGAGTCTAGGAGTCTATTTATTTCTATTCCTGAGAGCACCTCTTGCCAATCCTGTTCCAGGGGGCGTGTTTTCATTACTGTCTGCAGCTACTCATGTTGTGTCCCACCTTAATTGATGTGGATTTCTGATTATTTCTATTCTTGATAGCACCTGGTGCCCATCCTGTTCCAGGGGGAGTGTTTCCATTACCCTTGGCTGCTTCTCATGTTGTGTCCAAGCTACCTCCACCAGCTTGTTTCCAGGTGAGTCGTGGTCCAAAAACGCACCATACTGCCTCGGAGGATAACTGACTCATAAATACACTGATGGACTGCCAATGAGGTCATCAGTACACATCTGTGTACACTGAGGGGTCTGAGGGACCAGAAATGAGCCATAGGCAAGGGAAATAAGACCCATTTCTGGTCACTCAATGGCCCGAGTGGGGTATGGATGTGCACGAGTGACTGATAATGTAAAATATGAAAAGCAACTTTTCAGGGTTCTTATAAATGCATTGTTATAATGCAAGTACCTAAGTAATTGGACATATGTAAACCAATGTTTTTTAGTTTCCCTACTTTTATTTGTTGAGTTGCTGTTCACTGTGTTCATCATGTGAGGGCACTGCAGCTGTCAACAATTTGTATTCTGACATTTACACATGTGCGATATCTCAGCACACTTTAATTCACACTGACGGCAGTTTCCCATCCCCCAGTTGTACTGCTCATTCTCTGATTCAATCTTTAACTGCATTTTTGATATGTCGGACAGGGTCCATTTGTCAAGGTTGATAGCCTCATGAAGATCTTGGCAGAGTGCAAAATTCCTGAGCGTAAGTTGTTTTGAAGGAATTTTGATTGAACTTACTTTCCTCTCCCTTTTGAGTGACGAAAATAGATATTAGAATGGACTTGTCACACTGATTTCCATCAGAAGCCTACTTCCAGTGAGGACTTGTAAATGTGTAGCAGCAAGGCACTGGGTCTAGGCGCGCACATTCCTTCTTATATCTCATATTGTTTTACCATCATCTCAAGTTTCTGCTTTGAGTTTCACGTCTCCAACTAATTCATCTTCCTCAATAGTTAGAACAATGGGGACGAGGACATTTGGTCATGCTGTTACCAACTTCGTTAATTGTAATGTACAAATAAGAAAAAGTTTTACAAAAAAATGAAGGTCAAGTTAAAGGTAATTGTAGTGCTTTTTTTTGCTTGTTTTTTCAAAATCCTCTTTTGTTCAGGAATTGTCCATGATAATTAGGTTTGTGTGGAATTACCAGATGGCCCAAAACGTGTGATATTGTACCGGTATGTTGGTTGTTAAAAAACCTACCAGTGGGAGAAACAAAATGATGGACAGTTCTTACTTTTGAAAACAAATTCCGGGATGCCATTTGAAAATCTTCTAAACTGATAAATGTCAAATGAATTTATGACTAGATTAAATATTGTACATCCCAATGTACAACATTGCATCCTATTCATTCTCTCTAACAGAGATCACAATATGTCTGATCAGTGATGGAAGCTGCTGGCCACATTATGTTATTGAGCTCTTAAATTTAAAAAAATAGGGTCTTGAGTTCCCTTGAAGAACTTAATCTAACGTATTCTCTGTCCTCTTCAGATGCTGCTTGTCATTTCATGTAATATTTGTTTGGTTTTCTTGATCATTTTAGCCCAAATTGAAGATGTTGCTATAAATGGTGAGATGGGAGACAATGATGGCGAAGGAGCTACCAAGCGCAAACGGACAGGAGACAAGAATGACGATTCTGATGAAGATGAAGAAATGCACAGTGCCCCCGCACATGATATCTACCGCAGCAGACAGCAGAAACGTGTCAGGTAGAAGCAGGAACCAACTAGAGCATAAGGTGAACGTGTCAGGTGCTTGAGACTGTAAACAGGTACATACCCATCAGAAAAATTGGATTAAGTCCAGGAATTTTTATCAGTTTCCTTCGACCTTTGTTTGGTGAAAGGCAGTGCATTTGAACATTTTAACTTTGTTATGTAGACAAAGGTTATTTGCATTAAAGAAAGACTCTGTCTTTCTATTCAAGAATGGATTCTGATGTTTCCTTAGTGACTGAATTTTCAAGTAATTGTTGATCAATCTATTTAACTTGCTTGACATGAGATAGGTTGAAAGTTTAGAAACAATCTAATGCTGGCTGTGAATTGTGCACTTTCACTCTCAAACAGATCTCATGTAACCTCCATTATCATTCCAAGTCACTTTTTTTTTATCAGGAGTAGAAGGTAGGGTGTGGGGTGAAATCCAAAAATTTAATCAAAGGTCATACCTGGGTTGGGGATATTTCATTACCCTAGACTTGCAAAAGATGATGTGTCTTGTTCAACAACACTAAACAGTTGTCTTACTTTCAGCAGTATAATTTTGGGTTTTTGTCGAATATTTTCAAAGTCTGTTGGGAATTTGTTTGATTCAGCCATTGTTCTATTCAACGCAGTTTGTCTGATAGGTGAATTTGTGTAACCAGAAGACAGGTTAAGGGTTGTGGCATCCTTCAATCTCTGCTTTGGTGGAAAATTGTCCGAATGTTGTCGAGTCCTGTCATTTGAAATAGCCTCCCCCCACCCTACCTTGTCTAAGATGGCCGTCGGTCCTTCCCTACGCTTCTATGTGAATCTCTTAACCCGTGGTCACACTTCCCATTCAGACTGGTCTAGCAATGCCTGTGCTTATAGTTTGAATATACTTTCACATTTTGCTCCAAGACAATTCAAATTTTCAATTTAATGTTCTTAAGTGTATATCTTTATCTTTAGTTTGGTACTGTTCCACGCTGGTACTCTATAGAGCTTATTTTCATCTTCTGGATCTGTTTTGTGTTGAGTAATTTGTGGTGTCTGAATCCACACTGAAACTTTTTAATTAGTTGATTTTACTTTTTGTTACTGATGCGTGAGTACAAATAAAGAAGTTCAATGAAAAGTAACAGCCCTCCTTTTTGGCGGAAATTAGTTTGTTAGTTTTTGATCTAGGCATTACAACATCTGTGTTTTGCTTTCAGGCATAAGCTTGTGCCAAAGGAGTTAGACTTATAACATCTCCACAGAATTTGGAAATAAAGAATGTAAACCTTGCCCACACTTGTTGGCGGCGGTGGGATGTGCACCCATGGCGGTGGGATGTGCACCCTTGGCAGTGGGATGTGCACCCATGGCGGTGGGATGTGCACCCTTGGCAGTGGGATGTGCACCCATGGCGGTGGGATGTGCACCCTTGGCGGTGGGATGTGCACCCATGGCGGTGGGATGTTCACCCTTGGCGGTGGGATGTGCACCCTTGGCGGTAGGNTGGCGGTGGGATGTGCACCCATGGCGGTGGGATGTGCACCCTTGGCGGTGGGATGTGCACCCTTGGCGGTGGGATGTGCACCCTTGGCGGTGGGATGTGCACCCATGGCGGTGGGATGTGCACCCATGGCGGTGGGATGTGCACCCATGGCGGTGGGATGTGCACCCTTGGCGGTGGGATGTGCACCCATGGCGGTGTGTGCAACACCCTTCCTTACTCTAACTTTGCTCTGATTGTTTTCTTGGTATATCTTTTGTTCTGAACGTGTACTAAACTCGACCGTGTACAAGAACAGATTTTTCTACTTTCACCGCCAGAAACTATGTTAACCATGAAATAATGACATAATAAGAAACACCTCCATAAACACTACGGCGATGGACAAAAAAGGAACTGAAGAAAATTAAATAATAGGACGTTCTCTGATGATCAAACATGCCAATTATGTCTCGTAGGCTTTTAAAGCTTGCGTTGGTTTCTGCTACTTGCATGCAAAATGGATCACTTGATTAATGTTTCCATGGCAACTACAAATGCGAAACTAATACCGCATCGTCTAGAAGTTGGAGCGTGGCCTTTTTGTCAACTGAAGCTGGCGAACATTATCCATGCGTGTAAATTGCCCGTGTTTGCCAAGTAACAATGTTATTTACCTCAGTAATTTTACTCGGGTTGGTTCCATTGCAAGGAAGAAAACGTAAGATGAGCTTTTAACCACAAGATTTTCCCGCAAATGCGGCTATTTGTTACCACAAATTAAATCTGTAATTAAGCCTTGGAACACTTGAGTTTCTGTGAAAGTAGGCAGCAGCAGACAAAGAATCACATTTTATCGCAAGTTTGTGCTTGCTTTTCTGCGATTCTCAAACTCTTGAATCCATGAGTGTTCATGAAGACTCTCCACCACCGAAGAGGACGGTTCGTGTATCACCTTCAGTGGCAGACGCGCATATTTTTCATTCGACTTTGAACATTTTTTTTTAATTGGGTTTATAAGCGGCGCAGCTGAAGTGGGCTAAAATTAGAACAGAAACGTGAACTCGGCAGGTCTGACACGTATAGACGCACCGGCTGTAAAAACTGAAGTGAATCAACATTTAGAGTACTTATAGAAAGGGTGAGATGGTGGAGCCGTATTACACTGAACTTCGAGTGACGTGACATTCTATAGTTGTCTGGATTTGTCTCGAATAAGAGCACAGTGCTCACTTGTTTAAAGTCTGTGAGAATCATGCACGAGCAGTTATTGAGTTAGGTGAGCGATGTATCAGTTTCGCCCAGTTGTTTTGCTCAATTGCAAACAATACCAAATCATTTTGCTTCGAGACTTCCTATGATGTGACCGGCAGAGTTTATCCCTTCAATATCGACTTGGTTTTCTCTAAACTGATTCCTTTATGTGAACGGATGAACTGGATTTCTCCAATTCTGTAGGACATAGGCCTATATCAGAGACTGTCCTGGAGTTTCAGAGTTGAGTTGGTGATCATACAAATTGTCGGAAACTCAGAAAAATGTCCAGCAAAGGTTCGCGTGAGATTCTGCCAACAAAGGCGACACTGCGTACTTCTTCAACTTCAAGGAGCAGGCCAGGAAGCTCTACCCTCCGAGGCAGTACTAGTTCATTCACGGCCGGAGAAAAGGAAATAATCCAAGGTATCTGCCATAATAAATTTTTCGGAGAATGCCATGACAACAGTGGACCCAAAAGGGGTCAGTTCAGCATCCTGGCATCACGGCGTTGCTCCCCCGAGGTACCTACACCAGAACGCAAACCATTCCGAGATGTGTTGCCGAAGATTCACGTCACGCCCATCGTGCCGCGTCTGTGGCCCAATGATGACTTCACAGCCGGTATCTTGAACATTGTAAGGGAGGTTCAAGTGTGTCATCTTGCCAGAAGTGTATGCAGTGGGATGTCCGTAACCAAGTTTGACATCCAAGCATCTGTCAGACCCCCGTCTGTTGAAAAAACGTCACTGCCTGTGACAAATTTAACACTGCAGCCACATTCAAACGACAGTTCGATTTCCCAGTTATCGGTCAAACCTATGTGGCCATATCCTAAAACAGAGAAACGGCAAAGGATGAAAGCTCCTACTGTGAAAAATAAAAAACCGAAGAACGCATTTTCCACATGCAAGCGTCACATAGTATCGTCTAAGGAGCCTTCCATTTATCCATTTAGGAAGGGAATGACTAAAACAAGACGGGTCATTGAGGTATCCGGCAAAGATGGAGGGCGCCTTAGGAGGAAACTCTATCTCGATGTTTTTCTTCCTACGGCCGAGATGACGACGGAAGATGGAGGAGAAAGGATCTGGGATGAAGAGGGTGATGGGACATACATCGGAGATAACGGGGGAGGGGAAAATAATGAAATTGTAAATATTGATAACAATGAAGTGGAATATACTGACTGAATAGACTTTTCGGTTGTAGCTTAAGTTGAAGAATGGGGCTCTGTTCAAGGGCTTGAAATGTTTATGTTCACATTGATAGAAAACATTGTAATGGGTTCTACGCTTAAGTTTTTCGGCCAATAATATAGTTGATACCCAAATCCAAAGAAGGCACTGTGCTGCAGTAAAATCTGCCTACACGCAGGCACCCAGCAAACCTTAAAGCAAGAATACAGCATGTGCTATTCTGCCACCAGTTATATATGCTCTCCAATATAAGTTTGTTTTGTGTTTAACAATTACAATTTCAACGTCGAAAAAACTCATCTGCTAAATTTACTGGTGATTTATTAAAAGTGTGGAATGTTTTACCCATTTCACGCAAACTGTATCCAACTTTATCAATTCGTAAATGCAAGGTAAAATAATGAATATTTATCATGAATTGGTAATTTCATGAGGTGATAGAATGATGGCAAAGCAGATGCTTGAAAAATTCCATCATGAGGATACAACTCCATATGCACCAAGACAAACCACAGCAATATAACCTGTGCACAAAATACCATTATATGCTGGATGCAGGGGGATGCTGAATGCAGCTTGTGGTTGACGAATGGTCGTCGCTCGAACTTCCTTCCAGCTAGCTGGTGTGGCCTTCAAAGAAAGCGCGCGTGACGTGTGGCACCCCGGACACTGCAGTAATACTGGACTGGTCCCCGCCCCTATTAAATAGGGCCCGGAGCTAGTCCTGCAATTTGAATGCTGAGTATTTAAACTTTTGTCAGGCCAATAGCAATGCTTTAACATGAAATACGTTTCAGCTCGAAGGCAAATAAAACACAAGTTCTATCCTTGATAATCCTCTGTTGATCACAGGGTGGTAATTTATTTTTCAATGATTATGCTCGACAAATCATTTTACGGTAATTTATTTCAAATCGGTGGTTATTGTGTTAAATTTTAGATAAATGATCCATTTATGGAGAAGTTAGTTTCAGTAACCAAGAAGAAAGACCAAAAATATATATGATTTGTGCATTGAGCGGGCATCGTTTACATTTTACATTCGGGGCAGGATGCTGCCGGATTCATTACACGCTACCGGTCCCTACATTCGGATCACGTCTGTAAGACATCTGGAGACTACGTACGGAACTGAAACATGGATACGGCATAGGCGAAGATTTCTTGTCACATGTGGGGGATGCTTTCTGAAAGACCAGCCTCCATCCCAAGAGATATCATGACGCGGGCAAGTGTAGAGTACGGTGGTGCAGCCTGTGAGGGTGCTCATATTCAGTTTGTTGCAAGGGGGGGGGTAATTATATTTGTAATCCCCTATGTCAAAAAGTGGGAACGGGACTGGGATCTCCTACCATAGATACTAGAGTAGGTGGAATATGCCGGATTTAGCACGCTTCTTTTAATTGGGTACCTCCCCCCCAAAAAATATTTTGTAAACGTTAAATAACCACTGGGTACCTAGTAAAATTTTTAAAAATTAGCATTTTAATTCTCTTATTTTAAATTTGGAAACAAATCAGCCATTATTAAAAAAAATATTGAAAAAATAAAGTAAAACAAAGAGACGTGATCAAAACAATGGCAACAAAAACGTGAATCAACTGTCACAAAAACCCGCTTTCAGACTTTAAAGTGAAGAAAAGCTGCGTAACGTGTTTCGGCCATCGGAGACGATGGTTAACTTGTGAACAAGACACGGTCCATAGAAACAGTAAAGATTATTGCAAAAACGACTTGTCTTGTGAGCACAAACTGTATAAATCAGCTAGTAAGATTTGCACGCCTTGAATATGCGAGCACAAGGAAAACAAGTATTGGTGCTCAGAGTGTAAAACAAACCCACCGTTTTTACTTTTTGGGGAAAATGACTTAAATAAATATAATCTCTACATATAAAAAAGCATGTAAAGACCAGGCGAAAGACCAATAACAAAAAACCTACGTCAGATGGAGTAAAGCTGTGTTAAAATAATACGTGAATAAGTACCGTATCACACTATCAGGCAAACTTAAACACACGCGTCGAGATTATATCTGTGCTATACGTACAGAACAAAAACCAATTTCAAACCTCAATGTAAAAGAATTTCTACGACTTAAATAAAATCGCTCAAAACAATTAGTTGAGAGTCGTACCCACGGGTAAAAATGGCCAGTTGCTTAGGACAGACTGCATCAACACAGTCAAAGCGTACAACACATCAGAGCCGT